TGTGTGTGTGTGTGTGTGTGTGTGTGTGTGTGTGTGTGTGTGTGTGTGTGCGCGCGCGCGCGCGCGCGCGCGAGAGAGAGAGAGAGAGAGAGATTAAAATCCCAGGCTCCTGACATCAGTTGACCTCAACCGTCTCACAGGTGGGAACCCTGACAGGGTGGAACAGCCGAGGTGAGTCTGATCTGAAAGAAAAACAAAAAAGACAAATCCTTGAAATCAAAAAAAATCAATAAATTAAAAAAGTCAACTGTCAACGTCGCTGCAGGAGCTTCAGCGAGCTGCTGTGCGCGCCGCATGCCGTGCGGCAGCTGCACGCAGCACAACCCATGGGCTCACCGCACAAAGCGAGACACAATAACCAGCCAGAAAAACCTCGTTTTAGCGTCAATAACTGCACACATCCGCGCGGTATCGACACATTAACTTACACGCGCACAGACTCACGTTCTTTTTAATTAAGTATCGTAGTCCTGGGTGTCCGCTTGTCAAATCAGGAGCAGGATTAAACTAGCTGACGTGAGTTCCTTGTGGGACAGAATGAAAGTCAAAGCTGCCACTTACAACAACGACATATCCCTCAGTGGTGTTCCTCCTCCACGCGCCCGCCGATCAAACACCGTCGACTGCTCCGCCACCGGATTCAACTCCCGAACTTCGAAATCAAATCAAATGTATTCTTTCTGCAGGCTTTTCTTTTATTGTTTTGTTCGTCCGGACGTCGGTTGCGGCTTATTCGCCTTCTTTTCCTCCCAGGAGGAAGTCCTTTGAAATTTGGCGCGCCAGTCTCGGGGCTTCCTTGCGCTACAACGCACGTCACGTCCTGCTCCGCCCCGATTGGCTGACGGCCAGGGCGCCTTCAGCGGGAGCAGGACGGGCCCGCGAGAGGAGGAAGTGGGGCACAAGTGTCAGAGAGGCGGAGCAGAGCTCAGTGGTGGAGTAACCATACAGACTATGGGAATAACTGAGTACAATTTTGAAGTACTTGTACTTTACTTGAGTATTTTATGCAATTTATACTACTCCACTTCACAGTGGTGGAAGTACGCCATCATTTTACTTAACTAAAAGTAGTAATACCACAGTTTAAAAATATTCTGTTCCAAGTAAAAGTCCTGCATTCAAAATCGTACTTAAAGTTACTGTGAGGGACTTTTAACTGGTTGTGAAATAGTCTCAGTTTAATCCTGATCTTCTACCTTCATAAGTAAACGACACCATCAGAAAGAAGATTGTCTATTTCTATATCGTTATTCTTAATGTTTGTCATCAGTGCCTGGTGAAATCAGATCATGCAGCTTCACCAGAAACTCCTTCAGCTCAGACTCAGACTTGATTCCAGGGACTTAAACATGAATGTAGTTTCATTTTAGGACCTCAAACTGTATAAAACATATAAAACCTAAAATAATATTGATAATAATAATAATCGCTTCACTGCAGCCTTCGACCTACAGGCGGGAGCTCATGTGGGAGGAGGAGAGCTCAGCTCCCGGCAGCACCAGCATCTCCTCCAGGAGCAGAGCTTCTCCTCTCTGCTCCTCCGGGACCTCCGCTCCCCGCTGGGATCCAACACCGACACCACGCTGCTGGAGGGAATGGAGGTACGGGAGAGCCAGAACCAGAACTGAGTGGAGCAGACTGTCGGACCCTGCTGCAGTAAAACAAGAGGTTTTGTAAAGGGAGTCTTGTGCTCTGAAACACTACGACTTTTGTCCACAGGGACCGCCAAAATCAACACAAAATGAAAGTTCCTTGTAGTAGCTTTAAGTAAAATTACAAAAGCATTTGCATCAAAATCTACATATACCAAAAGTAAAAGTAGTTATTATGCAGAATGGCACAATTCAGGATAACATAGGCTCTATTACGTCAATGGATAATTAGCCTATTAGAGATGCATTCAATGTGTATGCATCACCAATGCTGCAGCTGGTAAAGGTGAACGAATTCTACTTTATATACTGCTGGGTAGTTTAATCCATAATCACACATCATACTTTATTAGTTGATTTATGGTTTGTATTGATAATCTGAATCTGCAAAGTAACCAGCAACTATTGCTGTCAGATAAATGTAGTGGAGTAAAAAGACCAAAAAATAATCTTTTATATAATATTATAAGTATTTCCCTCTGACACATAGTGGAGTAGAAGTATAAAGTTTCAATAAATATAAATAATCAAGTTAACTACAAGTACCTCAAAATTGTACTTAAGTACAGTACTTGAGTAAATGTACTTGGTTACATTCCACCATTACAACGAGGCTACATCTCAGAGGTAAATATTGTACTTTTTACTAATTTGTCTGTCCAATGAAAATGACATGTCTCTCAATGTGTTCATGTTTTGGGATGTTTGTGATAAACTTAAGGATGAAGTGTTCCTTTATAAACTAAATTTGATCAGTCCGCATAAGGTAATTTACTTAATTGTACTTAAAATTTCCTCTGCACCAATAAGAAAAACAATATTTCTAACTTGCCGTTAGTGTATTTGAGGATCGAGTCAGAAGGGGCATTTATTATCATATTATTGTGTATTATTACCAGCCGTGACAGCGACGCTGGTATTGTTTTCACAGAGTGAGTTGCCAGATGTTTATATTTGTCTGTGGTCAGATTTTGTCTCCACAACCGTGTAACATGCAGTCATGGAACTTTACCGTTGTGTAGTTGAGATCAACATGAAGACCGAATTCAAAGGTGCGGTCCAAGCAAGGCCAAGTATAGGGGAGAATGGCCCCTTCCCCGTAATTATGAAACCCACTGCTCTTCTTGGCAAGACCAGCTCTGCGCGGCTAGTAGAGGCAGAGACTATTGGTTAAGGTTAAAGGCATTGACCTCGAGTAGTACAAATCAGTTGACCAGTACCGTGGCGAGCATGGAAGCCTGTCCAATCCTAACGCTTGAATGCTGCACAGGGCGGGTCTTGCCAAGAAGAGCAGTGGGATCCATAATAACGCTGCCCCTTCTCCACTTCACGCCCCTGGTCTGACTTGGCGTCGCGGCTGGTGCGATCCAATCGCAAGGCGGTCTCCAGTTTCTGTTATTTTGAGAGAGTACACGGTTCATCTTAAAACACACTGTTTGGTTGTTATTGTCTGTTTGCCTTCTGTTGAGCATCAGCTGGCAGGGCTTCACCTCTCTGTAAACCCCCTCTGCACCACCACCAGCTCTCTTATACACTGAAGTACAAGCACTAAGAAAATGTTATGTAACTCAGCTGCAGCCCGCTCTGCCCACGTCTATTCTATCATTACTTCTGTTCAGCTGGGTACATTTACAGTTGAAGAGCTCAAAGCGTGGACCACAATATAACCTGGTTTGTCTGGAAAATAGTTGGAGACTCTGAGATCTTCGCTACCATTTATTTAAACAAGGCTTTTCTGTCATGGCTGCTAATCTATGACCCAAATTCAAATGTAGAATACTGGAGTTTGTGTGACTGTAATGGAAAGTGCACGAAAAGCAGAGACACACAAACAAATAAAACGTTTAAGTCACTCTGTTGAAAATTCATTTTAATTGGAGTTATTCATTCATTACAGAAAAAAGAGAAGCTTTATAAAAGTCTTTGCAGGATGCCAAAAGTTCTTCTATAGTAGCGGTATATAAATAATCATTGATTTATTCTTCAAGCAAACAAGGGGGTGTGGCCCCTTGTCCATGGCAGTAAAGTGAAGTATCGTTACAGTCAATGATTACCCAACTTAAATGGCATGTCAACTCTTAGATATGAAGCATTCACGTGATTTCTTTCAAAATGAAAGCAACATGCAGGCGAACCAGTGATTTCTAGTATCAAAAACATACGGCTATGACATACTGTAACAACAACTCTCCTGAGGAATACACACCTAAATGTTAAATCAATCAAACACAACGTAGAAGACCCAAACATACAGAATACCAGCAAAATATAGAGTTCTGTTGTCACATGACCAATCTACACCTACACATGCATGAAAGCCAAAACCAGAGAATCCTACATGAAGTGTTGGTCTGTTTTAAAGGCTTCAAACTTCAGAATTCATACAGATTTAACAAACTTTCTTGATATTATCCCACATCCTACATTTTTTGTTTCATTGTTGTTTTTACATAAGTAACAGCAGTAATATTGACAGTGACAATACTTCTCCTGCCTGAGTCGTGTGCTAAAACAACTAATTGGATCTAATTTTGCCTCTAGAGCCATCCTGACTCTGGGGTTTCCCAAAACCATTATTAGGAGAGTGTGTGTTCTGTGGCGAGAATGCAAACTTTTAATGCCCCTTAGAATGATGGAAGAGACTTATAATAATATAACAAATTATAAATAAGTCTTTGCATATTCTATGAGAAGTGATGTTATAGGAGAATACCAGTGTCATTTGAAAAAAACGAAACAAAGGCCATTGGTTGCTACTGAAGACGTAAATGTTTGAAAAAAGCTCGAAGATATAATGTTTCAAAAGGGCTCAGTCATTTCCTAAAATAGCTGGTCACTGTAGTTTTTAACAAATGTTACTCAAACAGGAAGAATTACTGCATGTGTTTGGGACTATTTTCAGCAGCGGATTAATACACATTTGGTCTCTGGTGAGCATTTCTGGTTGTTCCAATTATGAATTTTTCTATTCAACAAAGCATTAATGTTTAAGTTTAGTGTGTCAAAATGTAAACAATTTATTTTGGTGTAAACTTTTATTTCTTTCTGTGATTGAACGAAATGAGTGTGTAACATAAAACAAATATTTCATATTTGCTTTAATTGCAAAATAACGAATGGCAGCAAATAGCTTGTACAAGCTTTCTTATTTTGCGCTGACACCAACAAGACATAGAGACGCCCTCCATGATTGGCAGCAACCTTTTAAAGGTATTCTCCTCTTACCATCACTCCCAGCTGAATGCCAGCAGTGAGAGGTGATATTAAGAGTCAGGAGAGGATCATGGGAAACCAGGACCAGACGTCAGCAACAAGGTCAGGATGGACTCAAGAAGCCAGCTGTACAAAAAAAAAAGTAACATTCATATTATTACTATCAGTATTTACTGTCAGCATTGAGGCTGCTGTCCTGCAAGCAATCTACAGGCATGCGGCAGTTACACTAACTCTTAGGTATATACTGGGACAGCAGATAAAGGCTATAATATCGGAGTATGGAGAAATAGTTAGCACATTAGTAGCGAGAGTAGACTTTTTGGTGCTAAATGTGATGCTACAAAAAGTTCTGGCAATGACGTGTATTCATTCAAAAGAGATATGATTTTTTTCCAGTAAATGCACTGGTTTGGGATGAGGTACGTTAGTCCCAAAGTAAACACACTGATTATATGAGTTGTTATTAGGAATATATATTTTGTAATAAAAAAAACATTCTCAGGTGCTGAGAGTTTGACAGTGGGGACAGACGTGAGTGAAATATAAAAGAGTTCTCCATCAAACCCCCTGGGTGGGTCCTTGTTAGTACCCTTAGAAGGGGGAACGGTTCTGGACAGAACCTCCAGAGAGGGTTCTAGGTGTAGCCATTACACCATAGAACCGTCTAAGAACCAAAGTTTATCTGTAGAACCTCTCATAAGGGGTTCTCATAGGCGGTGGAAATTTTCACAAATGGTTCTGGGTATAACCCCTTATGTTGGGTTCTAGGTAGAACCCTGTGAAAGGGTTCCAGTTGAAGCCTTTATAAAATGTTTAACCAGAAACCCAAAAGGGTTCTCTTGTGAGAACAAGCCAAATAACCCAATGTGGTTCTAGTTGGCACCTTTATTTCTAAGAGTGTACTATAGAGAGAACTTAGAGCGACAGACCAGTGGTTTTCAGTTATTTTCTAATGAATCAAAGATAAAACTAAATCCAATCACAGTAGGCCAGTGAGTTGCACTGGAGTGAATTCAAATGAACTGATCTCAGTGTGAAACTGCAGTTCTTCTGATACTTTGAACGAAAGCAAATTTCTAATATGATCAGAGGGAACCAGCAAACTGCGACACTGATTTTTCAGTGCATTCTTTAGAATTACAGAGAATAGCAGATTAACAGAAGATTAAATCTCGCCCTACCCACGCAAGGATCAGCACTTCTGCTCTGACAGGCTTTGTGAATGGCGGGTGGCTCTGACGTGCAATGAAACAGAAAACATCAGACAAGGTTGAAAGACGGAAAGTGAAATCCTTTCATAAAAACTTTGTCAGCTGCGATTGCCTGAACTTTTGCATCGTTATTCTGTCAGAGCACATGCTGAAATCCAAAGGAGGCTCGTGGCCCTTCACCCTGCAAAGCACTTGAGTGCCCTCCAACAGAGGCGGTCTTTGTCCTTTTACTTGTAGCGCTGTTTATCAATCTAGATTGTTCTGGTGTAAGTTGTAGAGTGTTGGAGATATCGGCTGTTGAGACGAAGACATTCTGCCTGTGGTGCTCAAAGCCAAATAAAAGACATTAGCATACATTAGCTAGCTCAGAGGTGCTAGGTGAGCTAGCAGTATCAAGAATAGATCTTCCTGCTGCGCGGTGATACGGTTAGCGGGTGTAGTTCGGTACATGAAACTGCTCACAATAAGGTCTGTGGATTATCTTCAGTAACCGTGTCATGATTTCTGGAAAGAGACATTGCTGTTGAGTTTTTCCAAATGCATTGTTTTGGCACTTTGAGCACCACAAGCCGAGTGCCATCTACTTCCATTATATTGGAGAAAAAGAGACATATCTACAGCAGATATCCCCAAAACCTGGCAGCAATACTATCTTGAGTGTTAAATATTTCTACAGGTGAGAGGACAGACTTGTGTTTTTAATTTTGGGGAAAACTGTCCCTTTTAAGAATGAAACATTTCATCTTCACTCAAAAAAGCAAAATATATTCACAAGAGATGTCTTATCTAAATTGTTTTGTTGCCGTATTTTCTAAGCAGGTTAAATCCAACATAGCATACATGTCCAGGTTGCTCCATGTATCCCAATGGATTTAACTGAAGGGAAATGGGTCTAAATCATTTTTAAAGGAATATTCAGGCATTCTGCTTTCAAGCGATGTTGGCAGAATAGGAAAACCTCACGTTATTCCAACTTGAAAGTGCATTTTCCCAAGGTGTTGGAGTATTTCTTTACTTTCAGTTGTTTTTGACATCACTGTACAACATGTTGGTTTTCTGCACTTCTGTCTGTCTCGTTCCTGCTCTGAGTGTAAATAAGACAACCATAACGACACTGTTACTGTGTCAAACGGTGCTCTCCTGAGGCGACAGACAGAGGCAAATGTCGATGAGAGGATTTCACCCGGCGTCACTGTGAGCTCAACATGTGAACACGACATGAGTTAAGACTGAGAGCTGAAGGCGTCTCCAGCGCTATACGCCGTTTGTTTTCTACCTGCTGTGGACGTGTGGTTAAAAGATCGATGCAGCGCTTTGATGAGTATAAAATCTTGCATAAGCCTTGCAGTAAGAAACATATTAGCATTTTCACACTACACACATGCAGAACACATATCTTTATATTTACAACAGTCGGGGGAAAAAAAGGATGATTAAGAGTGACTGATGTCGAGATGTGCCGTGTGTCAGATTCCTGTCGGATGGTAGTGATGTCTCAGTGCCATTGTAATGAATATTGCTCGATCATTTGACATCGATTTGTCATTAGTCCACCTAACCTTCTTATCATAGCTTATTAGAATGAACCTGATATTTACATCAAAACAAAATCAGTTTTGAAGCCTTACGCTTGATTTATGTTTGTGTACATTCGACATTTTCCAACTACGCGGATTGGCGGAAAAGATGGAGACCTTTGAGAGTGTCGGTTTGCCGCAATGAGAAACCTGCACAGACGATTCCACGTCTGCTCACGTCAGTGCGACCATCCTCGCGGAAAGTATAACCGAGTCTTAATGGTTTCCTCTTTGCGTTAACGATCTGGTGAAGTCCCTACAAAACAGCCATACAAAGTCAACAATTCAATGACAATTGGGGTATGCAAGTCACTCGTGATTCATTTACGAATAATTTACCTCTGCAGTGAATAAAGACTCCAAACTACATTTTCCTGAATAAGAAGTGAACTAGTCATTTTTCCAATAGCTGCGCATTATTTGAACCCTTTGTAATTACAATGTGAACCTTTTTTTTCCTGTTTCAAAAGGAACACATTCAATTTTGTGCTTTTCTTGTCCAGACACAAAACATCTGTGTCTGTGTGAGACGGTTTTTAGTAAACCTTAGAGGTGAAAGTTCATAAATCTAGGTTGACATCAATTCCGTTGCTGCGAGAGGAAGCCACACTGTTACCAGCTGTGTGGGATGGGATCCGTGGCACCGTAGAGCCCTGTTACGATGAAGATCAATGTCTTTCGGCGTGTTTCTGTCGGTTTTCTGTCGATGTTGCCATAGATACTGCTGTGATTCCCTAAATGTGTGAAAGTGCTGCACTCTTTAAGTATGACAGAGTGTTTGACCCTGTGGAGGGGAGGACATGTTTGGACAGAGTCTCCTCAGCAGTGCGGGGTGTCTCGCTCTCATTCTGTGTGAATCTGTTTCCTGTGACCCGAATTAGCCCACAGGCTTCCTGCACTGCATGGAACGGGAACTAATTAGTCAAAAGGAGTTGTTATGGCTGCGAGAGCTTGAGCTAATTGACTCTATTCATGCTTCCATCATGGTCCATCATGTGTGTCTTTAAGGTGTAATTAAGGTGTAATTTAGAAGCTACCTGTGGTACAGCTCTACCACCACCATCTGTTCTTTTTCAAACTCACACATGCTTTGGAACTCTTTACAGTAAACGCATCCACACTATGAACATCAGTTATTAGGATTAGAATATCCTCGTTGAATACATCGAGTGGTTGTAAACATTTGACCTTCCTATACTATACAATCGCTCTATTACTGTTGCATTCAATAGTAGCGTCACTGACTTGACCACTCGCTAAGCAGTGGAGCCCACACTGTCACTAACCGCACTCCCTGAAGAAGTATATCCGTTTTGGAAAAACGAAAAAGCGGTTCTAGAGAAAAGCAGACAGAAAGGTCGACAATATGTGTTTTAAGGAAATAACCAGGATGTCGAACTGTTTCAGCAGAGAGAACAGGTTAAAAAGATAAAGATAAAAGCCTACAGATCAGTGTCACATCACCTGGCATCGAGACAGAAGACAATGAAGTTAACGCTGTTTCTGTAAAGCCGGGTATGCTAACGCTAGTTAATGCCGTGCTAAGGTACTCTGCTAATGTTAGCGCCACAGGTTTTTACGTAGAAACGCAACATTTTGGAAACGTATATCTCCTTCCAACCTTCCTGTGCAACGCGTGATTTTTGTTTTCCACATCCGCAAAGTGACATCACACAATGAAACCGTGCAGCAGGTTTCTGCCCTTCCGTACACATCTGACAATTTCTAAGGACACGAATGGGCAGAGAAGATGGAGAACTTTGAGAATGTCGGTTCGCTGTGAGGAGGAATGTACGAGATTCAAACGTTTTCTTGTCCCGATTCCACCTCAGCTCGTGTCCGTGCGACCGTCCTTGCAGAAAGTATAACAGAGGCTTAACGACTATCACTTTCAACAAACGTTTAACAATGACCAACTCGGAATACAAAAAAATGCCTGAAAATGAGGAAAATCTGAAACGACTTCCTGAGACTCTATGGAGCAGAGCAGAATAGGTGTTGGCCGATGCTACGGTGTGATTGGCCAGTTTGCATTCAAGGGGCGGGACCTAGCGAAGGGTCAACTGTATGTTGCACAGTCGTTGGGTTTGGATTCATAGAGCAGAGCAGCAAATGGAAGGAATCATAATTTTTGACTCATTGATATTAACAATTAATACAGGATTGTGATTCTCTGAGAATGCCTTCCTCTTTTCATTTCCCTTCTTTCATGATCTGAAAGGAATCATGTCTCCACACACACACACACACACACACCCCTCTCATAATCTCTGTTATATTCGGTCTCACTCCGTCAGGGCTGTAGGCTGCATCGTTATCTCAGATTGATTCGACTGCTTTCCAGTCACTTCATTTTGGCAAACAACCGGGCTGCAATAATCAGAGCTCCATCCGATAGATGGGAGCTAAGATGAAAGGAGCGTGCTTTAAATCATGCAAGTCCTTTATCTGTTCCCCGAATAGCACTCTGTTCCATCTATGTCTCTTTTTTATCGCCCCTCCTCACTCCATGGCGTCTGTGAATCGGTCCTTCCCAAAAGAGACCAAAAAAATCCAATTATGTTCACGGGAGCTGTTCCAGAAGTGTTGCCCAATTTAATTTTTTGCTCTGACAGGGCTAGTGACAACTCCACTGGGGGATAAAACAAACAAAAAACAGATGAGGATAGTTTCTACAGTTGGCTGCTCTTGTATTCTCTTGTATTCATCATTAGCGCGAGTGAGATGAGGGGGCTAATGATGAATACCGTAATGACCGAAATCCCACAGGTTTCTCCAGACGACGCCTTCAAATGTGGCAGATTTGAAAAACAAAAGATTTGAGAGAAAGAGTAAAAAGCAACCACCGGCACTGGAACGGAGCGGTGTTCAATATTCAATCTTCAGAGCTTGTTTCAGTTTGCAGGGTTTTCCAGAAAGAACATGTCGGGGAGGTGTTTTTTTCCCCTTGTGCATATCGGTGAATGATTGCTGAGGCAAGCACTTCTGTCCGAGAGGCTGAGACGCCTTTTGACATGCTTGTATTATTGATAATAGAGTCTGTGTACGGGCCGGATGAAATGCAATCACGGCGGTATTTGTCTGATGCCGTGAGAGCAGAGAAAAGTGCTGTCAGAGGCGACACACTGAGATCCACATCGATACCGGGGAAACTCTTTGCTGTTTGCTATTAGTAGCCGTGGGGTCTTTGACTATAATGTGTGATTCTGACTGCAAAAATGTGTCACACTCCTGTCTTTTTTTCTTTTCTTGCTTTTTTGAAAACCTTTTGACAGGAGGTGAAATCCTTTGATCCCATGTCGGTGCTGAGAGTGTTTTTTCTCCCTTTCGCATCGTCAGAACTTCTCTTTTTGAGCCTGTGCATCGTCGGCCCAGTTGAAGCTCACATGCATTGAGTCTAATCTAACGTCAGCATTTTCCTGCAGACCTGAACTATGATACCTACTTTAACGTTTAATTTAAATGCATGCATTCTCCATATATGCAGGGAATTGTTTTGTTCTTCCAATACAGCTTGGTGTTGTTCTTTTACACCTAATGTGTCAGTACGCAGTGCTTTTGATTTTGTATTGTGCATTTTGTGCGACTAACTTTCTTTTGTTTTCTTATAGGCTAAAGTGAGGTCTGAATCCAAGCATGACTATAAGGTCTATGGTGTTGTTCTAAATGCAGTGATGAAGGACTCGGAGGTGTTTGGGATATGATAGACAGAGCCAGGTTGTTGTGGGTGTCGTTGCTGTATGAACTAAAAAAAAACATTCCCTGCTGGATCCTCTCAGGTGCTCTGAGCTGATTCCTCCTTCTGACCTGCGTCTTCGCTCTCAGCCCCTCCCTCTGTTTTGGCTAATTCCAACCCAGCGGTGCACCTGGAGGCCGTTCCCGGCGACGAGTCGCCGTGCAGGCTGCCGTCCAGGGTGGCAGTAGAAAGCGAGCGCAGATTGGAGGCGGGGCTGCCACCCGCAGCGGAGTCGGGGCTTCTGCTGGCGCTGAGGTAGTCGGGGGGAGCTTCTTCGGTCATGGCTGTAGGGGAGACGGCGTTCAGGAGGGGCTTGTGGGAGGCGTAAGTCATCCCTCCATCAGTGTCACTATCCAGTGGGAGGCCGGAGGTGGTGAACTCCACCCCGGAGTCGCTCATCTCCAGAAAATTGTCCGAGGAAAGAGTGTGGTAGCGTCCACCTTTGGACACCTCGAGGCCCTAAGGAGAAAGAAGGAGGAGAGGAGAAGGGGTGAGTCAAAGGAGATGAAAGCCACAGGGAATATGAGATTACCAAAGGCAAGGACAAGAGGAAGAAAGAGGAGCCAGGAAAAACACAAAAAGGAGGTGTTAGCAGGTGGAAAGTGAGGGGAGGCACAAGAAAAGAGAGGGATGGGACGTGAACCCAACAGAGCGGAAGAGATAAAAATTGAGGTCAGGGAAAAAGCAATGTTAATAATTCATGCACATGTTTCTCCAACCATATTTATAGATACCTTCCTCTCCCGTGTAAAAGCAACACTGCTTACTTTCCATGTTACATGGAGACAAGATGCAATGCCTCTGTGAATATTTCATGGAACTATTCTGCTGAGCTGGTCTTCTTTTGCACATTACCATACCATTAGTGCTCTACCCCCACTCCCACTGAAGTCTCCTTTGTACTTTAACTTGGATAGTACATTGATATTTCACATATTTTACTTTCTGTGTTTGTATATTGATAAGTGTATATCTTCCTAAAAACATAATTTTAGTTTTATTTCTTTCTTTAGTCCTAATTTTATATACTTATATATGCTCTATTTTATTGCTTATCTTATTGTTCTATTCTATTTTTTTTAAATATTTGAATATCTGTCAATACAATGTATTTGTGTGTAGCGTGGAGGGGCTACAACTGCATTTCATTGTGCTGTCCTGTATTGTAAAATGACAATAAAGCTGAACCTTGAACCTTGACAACAAAACTGTACAGTACTGATCTGCAGGAACCAACTTAAAGCTGCTACGAGGAGCTTTCATTGTGTTTGATGTTGGCGGTCCCTGTGGTCAAAAAACGTTTCCGATCACCAGACTCCCTTTAGAAAACCTCTCATTTTACTGCAGCAGGGTCTGACTGTCTGCCCCTCTCAGTCCTGGTTCTGGTTCTCTCGTGCCTCCATTCCCTCCAGCGGGCCCAGCAACACGGTCTGGGTCTCCAGCAGCATGGTGTCGGTGTTGGCTCCCAGCGGGGCCCGAGAAGCTCTGGAGAGAAGGAGGAGACGCTGGGTCTGTCCACGGTGGACCGGTCTCTGCTGGAGGATCTGGGTCT